CAAGGGTTATCTATTAATTTTTAGATGAAATAGGGGAAAATGTATTGCAATAATAATTAATACTTTATTATAGACCTATGATACAATCATATCGTCCAAATCTATATTGCACACAATATAGATAATTATTTGCAAATAAACCTATTTCTAGATAATTTTCTGCTATCCTTTAAAATAAAAAGTTAAACATTTTATTAGTAAACTCATATTAATGCCAAACAATATACTATTAAATTAGCAATATATAGAAAGTTTGTGAACATTAATAAATTAAGTTATTCTTTATAAAATTTATGAAGGAAATAGCATTAAAATTAAAAGGTTGTAATTAATAATGTGAAAATATCATTCCCGAAGGCTGCGAAATTTATTTAGAAGGTAGATATAATTTTTGAGTTGCATCTAGTGTCTAATGTAGGCGGTATTTGGTCAAATAAATTATCATAATAATAAAAGAATTGTAAATTATTAAGATATTGTTTATCTAATATTTTAGAAAAGGTAATAAATTTAATATTCGATTTCTATGAAATTTTATACCCAAAGATAAGATACAAGATAAAATTATATTGATTTTATACATATATATATATAAAGATTAAATAATGATTATTTTATAATATCATAAATAATTCATCTTAATTTGTGATAATGAAATATTTAATTATCTATATTATAATTTTCCGATGTTCTCACTACGTCATCGTGACGTCATGTCATCGCTACGTATATATTTATTTATTTTTTATTTGTTGATTTTATTTATTTTTTTTATACAAACAGATGATCCTATAACTTAAATTTTAACTGAGTTAATTCAATAAATTTAATATCTCTAGGCTTGGAAAAATTTTTTAAATTATTATGGGTTGGACTGGGATCAAAAAATATTTCTCAAAATTAATATTGGCTTGGTTTTCAAAAATTATTAGGGATTGAAACGGGCTTAAGAAAATCTTTTTAAATTATTATGCTTGGAAATATTTTCCAAATATTGTAGGCTTGAACCTATATTGGGATTTTTTAAAGTTAAATCTTAGTCTTATGTTATTATTTTTATAAAGTAATATATTTTACCTGAGAAATTGGTAAATCAGAGATTTTCCCTTCATTAATTATAAATTTAATATCTCTGGGCTTGGTTTCAAAATTATTAGGGATTGAGGTGGGTTTGAGAAAATCTTTTTAAATTATTAAGATCTTGGATGCTTGGATTTTTTTCCCAGATATTGTAGGGTTGAACCTAGATTGGGATTTTTCGATGTTAAATGTTTGTCTTATGTAAATATATTTATAAAATATATATTTTAACTCAAAGAATAGTTTTCAGTAACATACAAAATGTAGACTGATTATGCTATGCCGACACCATATGTATCCCTACTAAAGATATCACTAACATTCATTATTTTAACAATAGTCTCAAATAATATGGGAAAAATCAATATTTAAAAAATACTAAAATTCTCTTTTCCTTTCTTTCCCTTTTAATTTCTTTTATTATCTTCCCCTTTCTCATCATTTCTCTTTCCTAGCTTCACTTTTTAATTTTCTTTTTCTTTATCTTCCCTTCCCTTTTAATTTCCTTATTTTCTTTCCATTTAATTTTCTCTTATTTCCCTACCTCAGTCTACACAATTCAGGCGAAAGCTGGGCTTATCAAAAAATAAATATCATTTAATTCTTAATTCAACTCATATTCAAGCATAAAAATTTAACTATCTCCGAGGTGGGAAAAAATTTTAAAAATTATAATGGGTAGGACTGGGCTTGGAACCTCAAAATTAATATTAGCTTGCACCTGACTTGAAAATATCTTTTATAAATTATTAAGGGTTGAGGTGGGCTTGATAAACTTTTTTTAAATTATAAGATCTTGGATGCTTCCTAATATTGTGAGCTTGAACCTGACACAATGACCTGGCATGACATCTATCGTAAAAAATGAATAAAAATCTCATTCCCCGTCATTTTTGACAGGCTTTCTACTAGTACATGTTATAATGAAATATTCAATTATACATGTAATAATGAAATATTCAATTATAGAAACATTTAATATAGCAATAAATCGTTTTGACCAAAAATGGAACCCAAAACTATAAGAACCTATCATTTTTATATATTGTAGCAATTATATATCATTGTATTGTAGGCGTATTTTAAAAACACTGGCATATTATATATATATCATTGATATACTGAATCTATTTAATTTATTAATGCATGATTAAATTCTTATAAAAGCATTTAAATACAGAAAACTTAACCAACTAGATTGCCCATATTATAGATCCACAAAAAAAAGAAGATAAATTGTTAAAAATAAAACAAAATCATTAACAATGCTTATGGGAAGATATACTTTACTTGCATAAACTATGCATAGTGTTATGTAAAATTATGAGCAAATAATCTAAAAGAAGATAAAAAAAAATAAACTTTGCAAATGTGTGCATCTACGTACAAAAAATCTGCACCAAAAATGGAGCAACAATTTTAAATTATATATAATAGTATACTTTTTTAATTAGCTGGACATATTTTATATTTTTAATGATCTGATCAATATCTAATAACGAAACAGTCCAAAATATTACTTGAGTTTAAAAAAAAAATATTGCGCATTTTCGTTAATTTATTGTCCCATATTTTAACTTGTTGACATTTAAAATACCAATAAATCATAGTCTTAGATAAACATTTTAAAAAATCTACTTGATTAGCAGGCGTGGATTTTATCCTATTTGTAGATCTGGATTTTTTAAAATGCCAAATTATTATTTCTACCACAAATATACATTTTAATAATTAAAGACTATACATATATTCTATAAAAAAATATAATTGCTAAAAGATGTGTGAAGGGAGGGGGGGGGGGTGCACAATTATAACAATCATAATTGCCCTAAAAAGCACATTAATTATGTTTTTAAATATTTATATTTGTATTTTTACTCTTAAGAAAAGGTTTCTTTGATCTCATGAATTCATATTTTAGTGGCCAAAGTTTATTTAAAAAAGAATGATGGATGTGTCATTTGGAGTAAAAATAAATATATCCAATGTTTTATGTTCATTTATCTTTTTGTTTCAGCTTGACTTGAGTAAGTCTACTGTCATTGATATTTATCAGGAAAGTGGTAACACAGGTACAACCCCAGATAAGTTATTTACTCATAGCACATGAGATAGTTATGGGTCCATCAGGTCTAAGACATCATCTGATGAAAGGTTGCGAGGTTTTAAGATATTGGGGATTCTAGTCTTTTTTAGAAATAATCTGAGAAATTTCTTGAGGAATGGCATGGTTAATGGCCCCGGCTTTTACCGGCTTTTAATACAAATTAACACATGTCTGACATTGATTGGTAGCAGAGTTGCTAACCCTGTATTAATAATCTAAAGAACAAATTACTTTAAAACTAAACTATTTTAAAAATTACGACAATATAAAATTTTAAATTTTATAACCAATTGAGCTTTAGACATAAATTTTATCGTAAAATAATCATAAAACATTATTGAACACACAAGTATGTTAATGTAAATAACATTTAACTATAAAAATTCGCATTCATGGCAGCTTGATTTTTGCAGTGTCCGTAATCGTTTTTGTCATATGCCTCAATTTTGATGGTAGAAAATAGTACTAATAGATTCGGGAGGATTCTTTCTTCTGATGGGTTTTTCCTTAGAATATCTTCGATCATGACCAGAAATTTTAGAGAGAGTGTAACCACGGATTTATTAAATATTCATATAATTTTTATACGCAAGATGATCTTCTTGAGTTTGAAATACCATTTATTTCCATATTACTTTATATATATAATATATACATATAATCCAAGAATATACGAGGGCAATATTTAATAACTCAGAAAATGTACATGTTAACCATTTTACCGAAAAAAAAACTTACCTTTTGCCTAAACATTCGTAATTTTTAATGACGATAAAAAAAAAATATATTTTGTGTGAAAATACTCTTTTAAAAATAATTATAAAATAATAAGGCCAAAATTATTATTCTCTAGCTCGCCTTAATATACAAATTTGAATATTTGCCAAATAAGCTTCGTAATATTAACGAATGTGTAGTATTCCAGGATGAAAAGATGGACGATCTTGGATTCAATCCTAATTGCAATTATACCGGATTTATGGATTTCGAACGGGATCGAGTTTCATTTTGTTTTTAGAATTTAATTTGAAAAGTATATGTAAATAAAATAAAATATTTTTTTTATAAATCTATATCAATCATATTTTGGGCATCATCCGCCACATTTTATATTTTTTCATGATATCAAGGCAACTTATACGTATTTGACAAACTACAAGTCTTATTTATTGAATTAAAATAAACTAAATTATTTTTTAGTTATTAACTAATGCCTATTATAGATCTAGAAGATAATACATATAATTTATTGAAGTGACAAATATAACTGAGAAATAAATGGCCTAACGGGTTTTAAATCGAAATTATTAGTATATTCATAATATTTAAATATTATATTTGTAGTTTTTCAATATAGATTATACAGTATATACATTTTTTTTTTTAAATATCTAAAAAATTGTAAAATTAAATATAGATAAATGTCTTCTTCTGGAAACCAATATACAATCCGGTGAGTAACGGATTTTTTAAAAATTCGGGTAAAATAATTTGAATAAATAAAGTAATATAAATTATATATTTTTTTAAATCTGCCAGAAAATTATAATTCGCCATTAGATGTGCGGCTAAATGCAAAGGATCTGTCAAAGATTTAAATTACTTGCTAGGTCACGTTAGGATGTAAATGTCGGTTCTTTAAGAAACACATTAAATTGGGGAAAGATTGGATTTCATGTTATAGAAGAAGCTAAGACATAATAAAAACGAGTAAACAAATTTGGATACTTTATAATTTATTGGGAAAGTTTTGAATTGGCGTATAAAAATTTAGAAATATAAAAAATCATAAAGAATATTAGGAAAATAAAAAGCTCGATAGTTTAAGTGTTCTTTGTAGATAGTTTCCATCATATATTTGCACTAATCACTTGATATATGCTGTCCTTGTGGGTAGGCCAGGTTGCAGCAGCTAGTAAATTTGTATCGATACACATTTAATTAAATGAATCAATAATCTGATATTTAGGTTTGTTAATAATATTTTTACACTTAGCATTCATTAATACAGTAAAAATTTATAAAAAAATCGATACTACCACCAGTAATATGTGTTTAGTCCTGGAGGATCAGCTGGTAAAATCATTAAATACGGGTTCGAGCTGCCCCATGGCCCAAAAAATATAAACATCATATTTCATTTTAAGAAAAAATCAGGAGATGGGGAAATATTTACTATTCATCTTCATATCATATTTTTTATAATAAATAGAATTAAATTGATAAAAATATAATTCAATTATCAAAATTAATGGCTAAATTGAAATGGAGAATAAATTAATATGTCAACTTATATACTTACAAAAATACATTATTCGTATTCGTACGAATAATAAAATGTTTATTCGATTCAATTCGAAAATTTTTTTTAACCATAAATTAAAAAAGATAGAATATTAAATTTATTTTGTAAAAATAAACTATGGATAAATGACAAACAAATTTAATTAGTAAGATAATATGGAAGCAACAAATATACCAACAACAAATTTTTTAAACAAAAAGTTTTTGCAAAAAGTAAAATTTATGATTTCTCCATCATCAAATGACGGAGAAATATCTGGTTCTCCCGTCATTCTTGACGGGATGGCTACTAGTTTATTATAATTGTATATGTGTTATAAATTGCGTATAAAAATAAATACTTTCTTCTTCCATCATAAAACAGTTTTCGGAAGTTAATTTTATATTAAGAAGTTATTCGAATAAAAACAGGCGTTAACAACAATTTTTGAAATATAAAATGTTTCACTAGGAAATTTTATTAAATAGGAATAATTGCAAATAATTCCTATTATTATTATTTTAATCGAATAATCTCGAATAATAGATAAAAAATTATTCGACGAATAATATATTTTCCTTTTTCCAATTAGATTCGAATTTTCGAATCGAATAATTGTGTTATTCGTATTCGTAAAATACGAATCGAATCGAGTCGAATATCGAATAACAAATAATTCGTTTTAGGTATAGTCAACTATATGCTTTTTTTAAAAAATACAAGTCGGGGCTGAACTGGAAAAGGACACAAGACATGCTTATTTTTGAATTAAAAAATTGCCACCAGGCAGCAGATTAGCTAAAGCTAAAAAAAAATCAATTTTTCAGGTCTCAAATAATAATCTTGCAAGATTGCGGACGTAATCTACATAGCTTAGCAGAGAATAGTTTTTATATCTCTTCTTTTATAAAACTTGTCTATATTGTATATGTCCCCTAATTAGGTATCGATATGGCAAATCAATATTTTCTGTTTGATTGATTTTAACAATATGGTAATCTTCTAGTAATTTGGAAATATAAATTTTATTGAAATTTGAAAATTGATGCTGTTTAAATTTTTTTTCCCTACAGATTTCATAAACTTTTGCTTCTTAATAAAAGGTCAGATAATTTTTTTCTAAAATTTAAAAAATATCACGTGTTATTTTTTAGGATTGAAATTTAGATGAAAAATGTGCGGTTAGTTATATTTTCGCAGAAGTGACACAAACTTTCGAATAACCTCAAAAATGTCACCGGTTTGGAGGTAACATCTCTTAACAACATACCTTGCATAAAATGTAGAATATTGGTTGATTCCAAAGGGAGACATGGTCTTAATTGTATATATAGTCAAGGCAGACATACAAGACACGAAGCAATTAATTTAGTTATTAGCTATATTCTTAAGAGGGCCCTAATACCTAACATACTGGAACCTGCTAATTTCATCATATTATGGCTTGAGGCCAGATAGTTTATTTACCTTGGGCCTTTAGGAAAATCTTTAATTTGAGAATTCACATGCGTCTTTTCATTTCCAGAAAATGTAATCCGGTTAATATATATAGCCTGAGAAAAAATAAATAAAAATAAATATTCTAAACTAATAAATTATGTCTTTTTCGCCAATCGTTATCTCTTATCCTAAACATATGTCAACCGAAATTTTAAATTTTACAAATAATATAGGGACGTAATAATAGACTTTAGTGTTGTTAAAAGGCTAGTTTTGAGCCAATTTTTTAGAACCACTAACTCAATATTTTGGCCAGAAAAATATTGCTTAAGCCTAGAAATTTCGATAATATATGTCTTAACCTTTGTTCCTTCTATGAGCAAAATCTTCAGGCTTGCGTAATATTATTCTGGATGAAATATTGAGTTAGACGTTTTTTAAGAATCGGCTCAAAATGAGCCGTATTACAACACTGCCTACATCGGAAGATACTGAATTTTATTTTTTAAACAAAAAAATTTAATTAAGCTATTTTAAAATATAATTATTCGTGTTTTTTGGGGGAATATAGTGCAAGATAAATTCACTTAAATATAATATATAAAAAATCGCCTAAAATTGGATTCCCCCCCCCCCCCACCCCTAAGATAATTAATCTAAGAGGTTAAAGTTTAAAGAAACTTAAAGCCTTGATTTGCAATAAATAGTTATATTTTAAAAACGATATTAAAATATGAATTCCAGTTTTAAATATTAAACGCTAACTAGCGGAAATATTTTAGTATTTTTTTAAAAAATAAAAATAAATTAACTCATATAATAAGTTAATAAATACGTCACACCTTTATCCCAAATATTAAATAAAGATTAAATATCTTTACTTAATATTTGATAATAGTTTTATGTTACTCGCTAAATATTTGTCTATTTATATTAAATCATATACCACATGGAATATATTATAAAAATATTATATATACATGATAAAAATTTTGGCGACAAATCACATGAATGAAATCTTTTTAAAGAAAAATACAGCCCAAACAAAACGATGAAATGAAAGTATTATATATAAAATAAAATTTTTAATCGCGTAATTATGTCTATCTTTACTTTAGTCAATGACATAAATAATATCTGAGACTGACGACGTAATCACTTAAAGGTCTCCATCAATGAAAACAGCTGGAAACACCATTTTGATTGCCCATATCGTTATTCAAAAATTTTAAACTATGGACCAATTTATTCCCTATGTCTGACGCAAACTTTATTTAAAAAATTGCCTTATCATTGAGATAATAAGGAAGCATGTTATCAATTTAATAGTAGTTTTTAACATGAGAATAATTTACTATATGGGTTACCAAAATGGCGGCTCCAGCTGATTTGCATTCAGCGACGCTTTCAAATGATGAATGCATCGTCAGCCCTTGGCATTATTTTATTTCATAGATTTAAGTAATTGTATCTGTAATTCATATACTTATGAAATATTTGCAGAAATAAAATAAACTTGCTTTCTTTGTTTAAGGCAAGGCTAAAAAAAAGTGGCAGGGCGTTAAGATAGTATCATGAGAATAATTTTGGCAGGCCAAGGGAGAAAATGAACTGAAGTATCTAAATCGGAAAGAATATATATTCGGTCTAAACCTATATAAATAAGTTTTAACTCTTTTGTATACATACAAAGACATTATAAATATGTGTACGTTTATTTTGCACATTATTAATAATCTAATTTATAAATTGTAACGAATAAATATCAGTTATATTATTAACTTAAATATTGAACATTATATTTACTTTAATAAAAAAAATATAGCATTGATTGAGTCATATTAGGTATTTTCTTGAAAAACTTCTCTTTAGGCTAAAACTTGAGTAGCCGGCACCGTGCCAATATAATATCGGACAATTTATATAATTCGGGGTATCGACTACTTCCATTTCGCCAATAGTCTGCGATATTTATTTCTTTATTTAGGCGAGGTTTAATAGAAAAATTTAATAAAATGTTTCTGATATACTCTGATCTTGTTTGTTTTTTTTTAAAATGCTACTTCAAAAGAGTTTGTTGGTTTACTGGCATCTTAATCTTTTATTATATTTTTTTAGCCTTTTGTTGCGATATTTTGTTGCTTTAACGAATTGATGATGAATTCTTTTGACGTGACTCTTAATATTTGCACCTTGATCGCTTTCATAATTGTATCGCGATACTTAACGTTTGATGTATCGTTCATAATACTCTACATAAGTAATTTATTTATTGGATTTAAAATTTAAATATCAAAAAAGGAAGTCATTTTTTTAAAAAAAATGTTGTTTAATAGCAATGTACAAATATTCATAAAAATTGTGATTGATACTTATCATTAATTAAAATTAATGATAATAATTGCTTTAAAACAATTCAGATATAAACTAAGAATTTTGGCAATATATTAGCAATAACTTTCATATTACTTTATAAGCGGTAATCCTGTGGTTAAAACCGGTATAAACAGTTATAGTGGTTCGGTTCGGGTTCGATAAATAATAACGGCTAGTACAAATTTAAAGGTTCGGTTCAGGATCGGTTAAGATACCTGAATGAATTAATTGTAAGGCCTTTAAAAAAAAACTCCCCTATTTACCTAACCCTAAAAAAGTAATACAAAACAAGCTTCGCCACCTTTTTAAATTGAAATTGAATAAGCAGCTTGGAATATGAAACACGTATTATTCGTAGCGCTGTAAACATTCTTGGAAATCCTAATCGTTCGCGTTCGTCGTTCCTTAACGATTATCGAATACGCTGTTCACGATGAATCGTTGTTAACGACTACATAAAGGTAAGGACATCTGTTAGCGAAATTTCGAGGTTTGGGCAATATTTTTTCTGACTAAAATTTTGAGTTAGCCGTTTTTTAAAATCGGCTCAAATTGAGCCGGAAAATAGTTATGATTTAGAATATAAATTTTTTAATATTTAAAAAAAAAAAATCATTTTTCAAAAGTTTGGTTTATGGCAAGTTTCCTAATAAAACCCGTTTTTGTTACCATATAAACGCGTTTGAGAGGTGAGTTGAAGATTTTTGAATCATTTTTTTTTGATATACAATCCTCTGCGTAAAATGCCCGCTAATTCATGATTTCATGATCCGATGCCCCTTCAATTTCAATAGCATACTTCACTCCCCCCA